TTATCCCCGACTCCTCGCCTTATGTCGACACAAAGCTTTATTCCGGTCGCTTTTTGTGTATTTGCATTAACTTTTTTAGTTTTCTTTATAACGGGAATGATAAATTAGAGAAAATAGTGATTCGTTATTTTCCTTGCGAAACGAAGTTAAGTGCTTTCTTACCAAAATCATAGTTAGTTTGATCGTTTTTATTCGCATTCACCTGATGCAAAAAATGGAGAAACCGTAATTTGGAGGAATTTCGTAGACAAATTGCGTATAACATTCTTATCCAAGTGGTGAATTTTTTTACTCGAATATACCGTGTGCTTAATTATAAGAAATGGCACTCTTTGGTAATAAATATACTATTTATTTGCTATCTATTTCAGATAGATATATCGATCCTGGGATAGATAATTCAGCTCTCTTGGGCGCTTAAATTACTCTCTTGGTTACACTAGTTGGGTGCATAAATAACTCATTTGGATGGATGAACCACCCTGTACAACCAACAATTTTTTCTTGCAAACAAAGTAATTCCCTTATTACTGTTTTCAATCTACTAATTATATTGCTACTTAAATGTAGTAGCGCGTTTAAAATACAAAACATAGGTGGTAAATTAGTTGCGCAATAAAAAGTTTTAAACAACTTCAAAACTTTGGTGCTCAAATACAGGATAAACATTAATTCGCAGTTGTTAACGTTGAGTTAATGACACGTGTGTAACCAAAAAGTTTCGTTGTTGAGCTACGGTCTTAACGGTTTGACAAAGAGCGATTTTAGTCGAGTAAATTTTTACTGAAAGAATTAGGATAGGTATGTTCCTAATGCACCTGGCGAAATTGGAAATATGCTGATGAAATCCGTGAAAGTTTTTGGTGGTAACTTGTCAGTTGGAAAAATGAACAAACCCAATTTGCAGGGATTTGCAATGGAATATTAAAATGCGGAATTAAAAATAATACACGACTACCCACTACTCTGTATAAATACGAAATGATTCCTGAAACCGAGAACTTAATATAAATTTCTGATAATCTCAGTGACGTAGGTAAAGAATTAATGAAACATTGATTGCACTTCCATTTAGTAATTTTTATTCTAAATAATTTTTACCCTAATGTAAGAATGCCTAATTATCTGATCAATATATATTGTAAGTATATACCTAAATATAGAACGTAAATAATATTTTTTTCGTCACTTTTAATATTAATTATACTTGTCTAGAAGTTTTGATTTCACCAGGAGGTAATTTTTATAAATTTTAAGATACCAATAACTTGATTTATAGTAAATAGTTTTATAAATAGTGTAATTTTTTTAAAAACAATTCAAGATGCGCCCCTGGTCTGTGGCAAAAGAGCGACACTTTATTTACCTGGATTTATATGAAAGCCTGCGGTAGGAATTCACAAAGCGAAATGCAAAATGTAAACTTTAAATAAGGATTTTCCAGAAAAACAATTTGTTTGCGAGAGGTTTCTTCTTAAATATAGAACACTACACCAAACCTAAGATTTATGCTCTTTGTGCAGCGAGCACAGGTAAAAGTCTTACGCACCGTTCGCTCCCCAACTCATAGCTTTTGGTGGTAGATTAAATTAAAAAACAACACAATACCCATACGGCTCGCTGCACTCCCGCATTTCCTACAAAGTTATAGAAGATTTACAAATTCTAAATGCCCGCCAGTTTATTTGATTAGCCAGGTTTAACCCAACTCGGTTGACCATCGCAAAAGGATCAGCTAACTCTAAATTTTACCATCGTCTAACAATCTGTGATGTCGTTAGTATTCCGGACGGATTATTACACAGTGATCTCATCACAGTGAGTATATCGTTGCAAATCGACCGTTGACTATTCCATTGCTAGCAAAACGACAATACGGACAAATCGTGACATTAATGGTTAAATAGATCCGGAATTTTATTGGAATCTTGAGCGTACGATGAAGTCGTGCAAAGTGTTTCTATACCGGATGGTCGGCGACTCGCGATTCAGATTAGGAGTTTATTGCCCTGCAGATTGGAAAAATGTTGCAAAGAGTTAGAGGAAAATGTACGTTATCGAATTTTCGGATCGTTTTTTCTACGTTACGTAAGATGGAGAAGCAACATCTGAACCCAATCGTGATTAAATATCCACTGCACAATTTGCGTATGTTATGTCTGTTCTATATTAAGAGTGCTCGTATTTATCCGTGTTAATTAAATTTATGCAATCTAATCTTAATATCAACACTTGTGATAGTTGTTTGATGAGAATAAATTTTATAACAGTTTCGGGAAATTAAAGATTTTTAAAACGTGGGCATCAAAAAACGAACTAATGGGTACAGGACGAAAAATCGAGCTACGAATTTGTGGCTATTTAAATGCAAATTTAGTCCTAAATTTTATCTCTTTTGTTAGTTTTTAATCTATTCATACGGATTAAAGAATACATTAAAATCCTCGATAAGTAAGTAAAATCCTAATTCACAATGAAATCGCTCACTACAAAAAATTGTACAGAATATTACGTTGGCAATTTTGTTACCTACGTAATATTATGTAATTTTTAAATACGGTATATATACTGTGAAAAATTCTCTTAATATATTCTGGATACACAATTTATACGGTTAAATTACAGAATATATAATGTAATGCATTACATTTTTATGTAAAGTCTCGAATTCCGGTGTAATTTTACAATGTAATTTCAGTATTACCTGTCTAGTTCTGTAATTTTACAGTCTTACATGATAGGCTATGTATTATAGTTATTTACATAATTTATTTAGTAAAACATACATAATAAATTAAGGAAAATTACAGAATTTTTTTTCAGTGCTGATAGAAAACGTCATTTCAATGAATAAAAGATATACAAATAAATATTACCCACCCACTCTTCTACTATAGGCACCTAAGGATACGTAAATACTTAAAAATAAATACGAATGCACCACTGCAAAGGCGATTGGTATTGCACGCATGATCCCAATTTACGAGATATTACATAGCAGGCAAACGCTTTTCTCATAAAACAAAATCTTGAAGTAAAAAAAATCACACACCATCCATTCCAGAGCATTAAAAAGCTATAAAGGCGTCTCTAGCAGTCTTTTATTATAACACAATGTTTTTTATTTATACGGTAAGTTCTTATGTCTCCGTAAATTAGATGTTCTAATAGTGGTAAATTTAACAATTTATTGTAATACAACTGTATTGAATATTCCATTTAATTTTTGCAACGATTTTAGTTACAATATGCGTATTACATTCCCTTCATTACGTGTCCACAGTATAGAAGATTTAGATATTTCTGGATATCAATATTTGTTCTGGCGTGTAATTAAATATCGTTTAAAACAATGTTTCATTTGACTATAAGTACTGTTTGTTGGATAATTTAAATACAATTACATTTTCCATGTACATATTTGTAAATTTACATCCACTATTCTTTTAGAAGGTACCTACTTCACACTCCACTAGGTATTAAAAATACCAATAAATAGTACAAAGACATTTTCTCAAGTTTATAAAAATAAAAGCAATCAATCTTTTCCATTTTTATGATCATTGTCTTAATATAGTAGCATCTCCAAGATTTAAGAAGGTAGGTAAACATACCGGAAACAATATGAAAAATAAAATTCCGGAAAAGGATAATCTAACGTAGACGGAGATACATATCCAGGGAAAATACCCGAACGAAGTGTATACCTGGGAACGGAGCGGAAAACATTTAGTCGGCGTATCCGGAGGCGGCGCGGCCGAGGGCAATGAATAACGCCGAGATTTAAGTTGAGTCTCGTTTAACAAAACTGTCATTTAACCTAATGCATCATGTAATTGGTACAAATGGGCCCGCGTATAATTTCAGAGATCCGCCGCCAGCCGCCGGCTGACAAATTAACCAGTTTAATTTACTTCTGATCGCGATACTACAGATAACTTGACATGTTGCTTTATTAATTGGATAAGGCCCCGGCAATTTGTCTTGTACTTGTTTGTTTTAGATGCATCCGTACAGAATAGATTCGAATCCAATATTTCTTTTTGTTCGGTTCGTACTTCGAATCCGATCGGATTGGAAGATAAAACGAACAGTTTTAAGATTAAATGACTTATTAGAATTTACAAATCAATCTTTGTTATATTGTATTTCTTTTATATTTTTTTTGTTAACGCCTGAATAAAACGGAGGTATCGGAATTTTTTTTAACGCCGCTGATTGTTAGGTACATATGTCAATGGAGAAAGAAATTCCGTCATGATTTTTCCATTCTTATTCTATGATTATTTTATGCTATTTTAAGTTACAAATTTATGGTTTCGAATGCTGAGGAAATTCGCTCTAAAGGGTAAAATTCACATTTATATGATAAAATCAATCTCGCAGAAAAAAGCTCATGAAGCGTGCGAGAACCTCATGTATTCCTCCTTTACTATCTAACGAGTATTCCATTGAATATTAATTTTTTATACAAACAATACAATCATACAGCATATTATTGCCTTAGGTAGGTAACAGTTTCGATTACAAATGAAACGTTAGCTAATAATCTCGCTTTAGGATAAAACAAATTAACATTAGTGTGGTGAAACTTGAAATTTCTTAATTTACAACACACGAATTTTATCCAGAAGCTACGAGCGTAGGAGAATGCTATTAATCGAATTTTTTTACTAATAGGAAAGGTAATGTAATATTTCTAAGCGGTTAAGTGAAGTTGCGTGGGCTTTAATCTATGCTTGTATTACATACCTTATAATTTGTTAGCGCTTGATACAGTTCAAGGTAAAGTAAACACCGAAGGATTATTAAATATGATATCATTATAGAAAGCACGAGATAAAAATTTTTAATGATTTTATGTAGATAGGTTTTTACCTAATACGGTCGTTTAGTAGTTACAGTGCGACAGAAATAGCCGGAGACGTGAGATCTACAGCTATTCCTCTCGAGCTGTAGGTAGTCGTAAATACTAGCAATTGGGGAAATTAATACTGTACCTGATTTTTTCCAAAGGGCTAGAAAGGTGACGAAAAACGCCAATAATTTGAACGATCCACCCCTCATACCGTTCTGCGGAGACAGGACTAGAAGTTAAGACAATATTCGATGGATCTTGTTACGCTAGAGGAGACATGTTAGCTTAACTCTGTTAAAGAAACAAATATGTGTTATCTTTGATTAGATTCGCCTAACAATTCGGTTGAACGTGCAACGCTGGTTTCCATTAGCAAAAACAACTTCACTGATGAACTAATGAATATTATAAACTAACACGTTGCTTGTAAAAGCAGCTATTTATTGTACCGACTTTTTAAATGGACCGAATGGAATAAAATAACGTCATTAATATTTATGACCGTACACACGATATTTCATTTGCAAAATATATAAAATTCAAATTTAAATTATTTTCGATGATTAGGTAGTCATCATAATTCGGCCGGCATTTCGAAAATACGTTATTAAATATATATTTAATAGTTGTTAATGGCCTGCGCCATATAGACGCTCCCATTTGTTAGTAGCTGACCATTTTTAACGATTAATTTAATTTGTGGAATAAATGCATTTCCGAAGAAGTTATTTTTTATGTAGATGATTTTATTAATTCTTTTCCGAGCGTTCGTCAAATACAGTCTAATCACCCGCTTAGAAATGAGCTATATTAAACAAATAAAAATAAATGAGCAATCGATTAAAGTTAGAAGAGTTGTGAAACAAAAAAAAGTATAGAGCACCAGTGGAAAACCGGTAAAATATTAGCGTACTGGATAGTTTTATGGCCAATAAAAGTAAACAGTTGCAGGGTTTCGTGGACCGAGCTGCGAATGCAAATAAATACTTTAACCGAATGAAATATGTCGTAATGAGGTTTGTAATCGGAATATAAATATTTTAATGGCAATATAAATGAACGTGCAGATATTGTATAATGGCGAGATGAACATATTGGAAACACCCTTTATTAGAAAATTATGATCCTATTGTTGACTTTGCAACGTTAACGGTATAAGTTAGTCAAAAGGAATACTAAATCAAATAATGAATAGTTACTGAATTCGAGCAAATTCTAAATTAGTGATTCAAAATGCACCGCTCTAATTCGAATATCCCGCAATTTTTCGCAACATTCACTTGCCTGCCACATTAAAAACAATTTACCAAAAAAAAACACGAAATAAACCGGACTTGTCTCTGGAATACCCGGCGCCCCAGCAGGACTGACAACGTCTACCTCCCTTAAAAAACCTGCATAATTCAGTACTTCCCGGCGTCGTCGAGCGCCGGCCGCGCTCCGTCGTCGAAAGTTGGGCGCCGTTCGGGGAGACGTCGGAAGTTGCGAGAGTTGCGACAGCTCAAATTTCCATCCTAACGTATTTAAAGGGGCGAAAGTCGACGGCCAGAGGTCTTCGCGGATGGCTAAACCGGATTAGAATGCGCGAAATTCGAAAAGTTCGTCGCGGCGAACGTCAATTTGGCTGTGTAAATATTTTTCGGGACGCTCCAAACAGATGCCCCCCAAACGAATTAGCGGGATAAAAATGGAATGTTTTTATAAATATGAAATGAGCGATAAACGGAAGTTTGATAGGTACACCTAATACTTAGGTCACTTGTTCTGTTTTTTTCAGAAACTTTGTTATATTGGTGCAAATTACGTAAATTTTTAAACGTTGGGGGCTTGATACTTGTCAAGAAATTACTTTTTGGTAGGTACTCTCTTAGAAATAAAGGCATGTCAGATAAACATAATTAATCAATTCTTGAATACATTTAGGGCAAAATTAGAGACTAATAGAGAGATAAATGAGTCTTTTAGGTATATAATTGACTTTTTTTAATAAATAATGGTAATCTGAGTACAAAAAGGTACACATTATTATGTACAAATCACTCTGGCAACTTCACGTGCTTGTAACCAGAATAAAATACAGACAAAGTATTACTATTAACAGTATGCCAATTTCTCGAAAAAAAGTTTGGATGATATACCTAATTTTTTTTAATTAATTAATGATTGTATATTAATCTAGGAGATAAATAAATTATGAAGCATTATCTATTAATTAGGACATAATGCAAGCGAGTGCATATTTCCTGTTTGTATCCATTCCAGCTTTTCATCCGCCTATTATTTTATAATATAAAACACGAGAAAAGTAAAATATTGTTTAATAGAATATGAAATTTTTCCAAAACAAATAAAACGAACGTATTTACGTTAATAGACGTGATATAGCACCATGTACACCTCAACTAAACAGCCGTATCGTATTTTGATAAAATACATTTTTAACCTCTACGCGTTATATTCTCGAAACCGCAATTACATATTAGACCGGCGTTAAATCTTCTGTTTCACACGAAATTAACTATGCGCATAACATACATACAAACAGCGTTTCTTTAGCCGAGTTACACGTTAGTATTACCGGCGAATGAATAATAATTCGGCAATAAAACACGAGTTTTCCAGCCCGTTGTTTATTTTTTTGGTCTACGACAATTGCCACCGTTCGTACTTAATTTTTCAACTAATAGGCGGTTATAACTGCGGTTTTCAACGATAAACTAACGCGTACAGGGTGGAATTTCGCTCCCAAAAACCGATCGTAGAAAGTTAGCAAGCGGCGAAACTCAGCCGGAACGTTAAACGAATTATCGTGCGAAGACGGCTCGAATGGAAATTTAATAGACTGCCGCTTTATTGCGTTTAACAGGTACGAAAACAGACCAAATTAGTGAATTAATCAGCTTGTTCGGTTCGGCCTTTTAGCGGCTGAACGCCGCGACGTTTAGGCCGGTACACCGGCGGAGGAAACTCCATTCAAGGAAATCGATGATAGCTTCCTATGCGAAGGCGAAAGCGAAGGTTCGGATCGAGTTGGGGTTGTTAATGACTGTAAGGGTTAACAATCTGTAAACTTCCAGACAAGAAACTACTTCCTATAAACGCGGAAATAGAAATGAATTAACGATCGAGAATTTGAATTAGGTTCGCGTTTTTTTTCAACATCGTTTATTTTTTTAGAGGCGCTCTATTATTTACACCATAAAATGCAGTTAGTTGTAAATTATGCTGCATTGATAATCGTTTAGATTGTGAATAAATAAAAAGTTGTATACTAGATGAGCTATTGGTAATGGAATTCAAATAATAATAGAGGCATCAGCCTAAATTATTCTTCATTTACTGAAATTCCAAAAATAGGAATTTAAAATATACCTATACAAATTAAAACTAAAAATGTCATCAATTTTATATAAATGACCTTTCATTTGTCAGTTATTCAGTACAAAAAATAGGACTGTCTTTAGGAATTCCTAAAAAATGTGTATTAAAAATCTATTTTTAAAATAAATTATGCATATTCAAAAAATCGGAAAAGTGCGTACGTACTTAAAAGAATTGTTAATTGCAAGATGGTTTGTAATAATTTTACTACAGAAATAAATACGACCGTACAAATGATAACCTTTCCAGCCATTAAATTTACCCATGCTACAATACACATAGGAGTATAATGAGTTTTTTCGTTGAAAAAAAAATAAACCATAAAAGATAAAGCACGGTTATTATCCTATACACTTGTGAACGATATATTTATTGCAAATGTAGGAAACTATTGTTAAAACATTATGATCAGAAAGTTATTACGGATTATAAAAGACTATTTAACGACAATGCCGTTGAAAAAACAAGGAAGACACAACATGTTAGTGAACATTTTAACAAAGCACAATGCTCTATCCCCAGAATGCAGGCATATATTATTGTTCAGACCATCCTAACAGCCAAAGAATGCCACTTTGAACTCTCAACTACCTTGGGCAAATCGAGCAACAGAAGGATTATGCCGTAGAAGCACTATCCTCAATGTACTAAATATAATACATATTTTCACATAAAACACCGTCGAGTATTAATTAGAATAACATCAATTCACCTAACAGACGCCGATAAGGCGCTACTCTTCCAATCGGTAATGAGGTCTAAGAAACACGTCGAACGTTACAATTGAAATCAATGCGAGAGTATGACACGTCCGATAGGACCGTTGGACCGTAAATCGTTGCTATTGTTCGGTTATCAAAACGTCGGTTTAAACAAAATCGCGACTTGAATGATGAATGGCCCATAAAAGTAAATAATGGTAAGCAAATCGACAGCGAAGCTGCTGTTTATCTCAATCGGGCAGATAAAGAATTTTTCGCAGGTGCTCCGCAGATAGCGAAATTTCGGGCGAATCGATGACCCTATAAAAACGAAATTGCCGAGAAAGGATAATGCTCGATTAATTTATATTAGCTTAATTAATTAACTGACATAAATCACGTATTTGTATCTGTAAAAAACAGCAAATGCAACTCGATCATTACTAAAACTCTATTTCGAAAAAAAATGTTATCTTATCAATGATCTAAACCAAACATTAGCAAAACTGTATCTATACTTGACTCTAAATAGTGTGAATTCATTATCTTATAAACAAATATGCAGGTGAGGCATTAAAGTTTCTGACTGATTAACTTGATGGTGACCTTAAAATTCTGAGCGAATGAGACGAGAAAACGGAGATTCGAATAGAAATATTCCGAATTATGTCAATTTGAATGCAAAGTGAAGTCATTGTTAAATATAATTATCACCTTGGCCGTTTCAAGACTGGGAATTAGATCATTTGCGATTACCTAGCGAAACGTTTATTTCAGGATGCAAACTACAAATAGTTACTCAATGTGCCTTTACTATTATCTCATGTATTTGTCACCGTTTAATCATTTCAAATTCAAATGAGGTAAATAAAATCGAGGATTGATTTTAAACCCATTTTCGTATTTCCTCGAATATACATTTTCACGAAATAAAATTTGGTATACATATAAATATAATTACCGCATCGAGATCAATAGCTGTTACACTTGAATATGGTCTAAATATAAAAGAACACAAGTGGCATTAAATTATACCATATAACATTTTGAGTAAGTGAGTTTATTTCGAGATATTTTCGAATATACCATTAAATCAATAATGTTAAGTGGAACACCTACAAAAATTTCTATTGTAGTTATGTCATACTTTTTATAAAACATAATATATCGGCGGAAAGGTAACCTTGTATTAAAAATACTTGCGAATATGACATAGGTATGCAGAGTGTTATGTGAATTTATTACCAATGATCGAAAATAAATCGATTAACGGTGCCATAAAATGCAAGTGATTTAATTAGAATGACCGCTTGCAATTTTGGAATTTAAACAGGTTAATACTAAACAGAACAACAATAAATATCTACTAAAACCTCCGAATTTTTTAAATAACGATTGGGGTCTAATTGCAAAAATTTTATTGCATATAACTAAAAATATAAGTAGGTACCGATCGGATCAAAACTTGGCAAAAACAACATTAGTTTATCTGCAAGCAATTACAAAATATCCAGAATTGTGTAAAAAAATATAACTAGTATGTAGTCCTGTAAAATCCATCGGTCTAATTTAAACCACGACATTAACAACAATAAAACTCATTTTTATTTAAATAATACTAAAAGTTCAGATAAGATAATAATTACGTCTAAATCGTGTGCGCTCGTATTAGAGTCAATATTTGAGGTGGAATTTTTTTCGATGTATGGAAACCAGCATTATACGTTAGGTACGCAACAAATATATTATTGGAAGTCTACAAATATTGTGCTCTGTTTTTGACTCACTGCCCTATATTCCAAAAATTATTTAATAGGGCAAATTTATGCTAAAATACCTTCCTACAGAGGTAATAAACGAGTCTTTTATATCAATCTCGTTTTGGGAAGGAAGGACTAATTAGAAATAATAATGTGATATTTCACTTAATTAATACGATCCTTGCAAAATGTTGTTTATAAACAAGGAAATATTATTGTAAGAAAACTATTTATTTGAAAATAGTTTAAATTTTATTATTTTTTTTTATTTTCTAATACACTGATTAAGGATCTGTTATCCTTGAGGACCATGACTCAAAAAACCCATATTATGCACTTTCAATATTTGTAGACTTTTAAAAATATGTATATAAGAAGGAATGATTGGGAAACTAAATCAATTGTAAATTTTTACAAGTAAATAAAATTAGAAACACCTGTAAACAAATAAGAGAAAAATACTGGACAACTTGTTGATTAATTAATAAAAAAATGTCAAATTACCTACATATTAAATTTTGATGAATTTGGTGGCATGCCAGGTACAAAATTCATTCACTACATTAAGTTTCCCGTAAATTATCTACTTGTTATTGGAATTGTTTTACTCATGTAGACAATTTCTGAGATGATACTGAGCACATATCCTGCAATAAAAGTGCAGTGTAGTCTAAACAATTGTGCAGCAAAAAGAAAATAAATAGTTGTTGGTAAAGATACGAGCGTAATAATTTGAATAATTTATCAATTTCGATAACAATACTTTACGTTATAATTTTAGTAATAAAGTTATTGGCTATAAATATTCAACTTTAATCAGCAATTAATTGCATTAATGCGAATAACAATTAACGAATATAATATGCATTGCATACGCTTTGTATACATAAGTGATTAAATGTATTTGACTCATATAGCAATATATTAAAGGAATAGATTATCTCAGATCTATTTTAAAATCAATGATTAATTATATTTTATAGTAATGCTATTGAAGTAAGCGCCAAAGTAATCCATCTTACTATGATTTGTTCAAAAGTAATTTCATTCGCAATGAATATAATTTTTATTTAGATTGTGTATTATCGAGAGACTGAGTTCAATCAAATATGATTCGGCATATAAATATAGTTGAATAAAATGTTTGTTAATATAACTTTTCGTGTGAAATGGAAATTTAGAATAAAATCCGAAAAATGCGGGGTAATAATGAGAAGCAACGTAGGAAGCTTTTAAAATTTATTGTTAAAAACTGTATGAAATTAACCTAGATAATGGGAAAATACCTCAAAAAATATAAATTTAGATGTTACTTTGAAATAGGTGCGGCTAAAAAACATTTTAAGTTTGCCTTCAATTCGAAGTTATTCTCAGTTTATTAAAGTTTTAAAATGGTATTTCCTCGGAAATGATAAAATCGATTCAAAACTTTCTACAATTTGGTGTCTCTAAGAGGATTGTCAACAGCAATATATTTTTTAACATACTTTGATACAAAATTTTACCCAATCATTCCGTTTGACTAATATGTAAATGTAAAGAAAATGTAAAAATTACCAGAAACTGTGCGATAAACTGAACAAAATAACAAAAATTAAACCATAATTCACAGGTGCAACAACAACCACATGCCAGTAACCAACCAAAATAAGGAAAAAACCAAAAAAAAAGAAACCAAAATTAATCGAAAAATCGAAAAAAAAATCTTTTAGAAAATTTTGTACCGTCTCAATCAAAACAGTTCGCGCTCCCACACTCTATAAATCAAGCCGGCTGTGTCGACGCGAAGAGCCTACTGAACAACTGAACGACGACGAGCGCGACTGAATGAGCTTTCGCTCTGATCGCAGAGTATGCCCTGTATGTGTGTTAATCTTTTGAGGCATGTGTGACGGCGATTCCGCCGGTGGTTGGCCGCCGCCTCCGCCGCCGCCGCCGCCGTCGTCGTGCCGCGCGTTTGTATTTCGCTTCGTCGACGGATCGTCGCAGGTATTATACTGTCAGGGCTCTCTCGCATTAACTAGGAAGCTGGACGCGGTGCAGTTTCCCGTTCGCAATGCCAGCAGGTATTTATGTATTTGTTCGTTCCGTACTTTTCATCCATAAAGAACGCGCTGTATTTTTTGAAGTTTATGTCGCGGAATACAATAGAGTATCGGCGATTTTTTTTTTGTTTGGTTTTTGATTGAGTAAAAATTATCACTGTATTGTCAATTATTTAAATAATTATAAACTTATACTGAGGTTTGGAACATGTAGTACAGAGATTTAGAGACGCTGCATTATATTAGTCAATTATTCCGTTTGATTAATATGTAAATGTAAAGAAAATGTTGAAGAAAATGTAATGAAGAAATGTAATGTTCACTATTTTTCATCTATAAAGAACGCGCTGTATTTTTGAAGTTTATATCGCTAGGTACAAAAGAGTATCGGCGGAATAATTAATTAAGTAGTTATTTTAATTAAAAATAACATCTTCTCTAATAACTATAATAATCTATTAATTAACAAAAATATGTTAAATAATTAACAAGTTAACTGGCGTTTAAAATTTGTAGGTATATGTTTAGGTACTGTTTGTAAAATGTGGTGATGACGAGATTTTATGACGCTGCATTATGTTATAAAAATTCAGGTGTAATGACATTTATCTGGGTACATATACGCAGAAGAAAATAAATAGTGCAATAAAATAAATAATATGGCTTCTAAATACGTGGAAATTTGGACACAAAGAAATATGGCGAATCTACGGGTTGCGAATCCGCCAAATTTTTGAAATCGGCAAATTTGAGAAATTTTAGGTTTATAAAATTAAAGCATTTTTGAGGTAATCAAATGTTCTTGAAAGTAGTAATTTTGCATATAAATATGCCAATAATTTTAGAAAAAATTTATGTACACATCCACAATGTTAAGAGAGGTTTATACTTTATAAAATCTCCCTACATGAATACTTTAAGTAACTGTAGGCACCTCGGCATTGATAAAATAATACACATTTACGCGCAATTTCGTATACCTAATTACACTCCATTTTAAACCCACGATTCTACAAAAAATAAACACTAATTCATTTCAACATTAGCAGGTACTCGCATTCCTTTTACGCAAAGTATGACACCGCACTAATTCGTTGGGCAAATTCGAAATTTCGTCGATTGGGATACTATTTATTTATTTTATTTATTTGTTGCATTCCCACGCACCCGATTTATAAGGCCGGGTGACATAATTCGCATGCACATTTTTCGAAATTATAAACAGATGGTTTCCTCGGGCAATCGCCAGCATTGATATATTTGATAAAATATATTTCAAGGTTTCTGTTTACCGCGTAAACTAATTTTTACTGGAGGTGTTACAAACATTAGATTTGTCGCACATTGTCGTACAATAAATGTAGTCTTCTACCTTACAACTCATTTAAAGTATTTAAACCTTTTAATTTAACATTTTCTTATGTGCTTGACACATCGAGAATCAGCCGCGACCTTTCCTAATTTCCAATGGGCAAATCGCATTCGTGAGATCACGCAGCGATAATCGCATAATCAATTCGAATGCCAATATTTGCATAAGCTAAGCGAATCAACCGTGCCACAAGTTTATTACTCTGAAACCGAAATGAAAAAAACTCGTACATTCAGTCAACATGAATATCTACTTCTATTGGGTATAACGACATTTTAACGATGATCTATATTTTCCGCATTTAATCGCTCCTTTTAACAAACTTCATCGAAACTGATCGCTAAAATACAGGACGTCATCGATATATCGAAAGCCTTTCAATTACGGCCAATAATCATTTAACGAATCGGCGAACAAATAATTCCGATATCTTATTCGGGCGCTCTTGAACTCCCGGTCGAAATAAATTTCAATCCATTTGACGAAAGGCGACCGACTCGGGAAACTTTATTAAAAAATATTCTAACGATGACATCAGTGCGGTAATAACGTTTAATAATGGGCGACGCGAACAATTATTAACAGATCGAATTAGTCTATTGAATAATTTTTGTTATGTAATAGGGGTACTAAATATGCATGTAAAAATATCTACCAAATACACTGCTCAATTAATTGTATGAAATAATATAAAGCTTTATGTGTATTGGGATATTTTGGAAATGATTTGTATTGTTCAAGTAATTTAAGTTAAATAATAATAACTAATGAAGTAAGAGTAAATGGGCAATAGTTTTACAATTTATTATAAATTGCGCAGGTAATCACGAATAATAATTTGACTCTATAAATTGTTTGTTGAGATTACTATTATAATGATCCACTAAAATAATGATTGATAATATTTTATTTTAAAGATTTCGTGCATTGGGACTGTTATTTTTTTCATCTAATTCAATAAAAAAATGTATGGGAAATCTCGCGTGTTGCGAATATTTGTTGTATCATCGACATGTAATATGATATTTAAGGTTCCGCGAACAAGTCGAATTTAATATTAGCCATAATTTTCTTGTAAAAAATTGTGTTGCAATAAATTTTTCCAGTAATGTTGAAAGGTCTGCTATACATTCGTGTTGTATAAAACGGTGCAGTGGCAGTGCATTAAAAAAACAGATTATTTTTTGTATAAGAAGTTGAGTATTGAAAGATAAATTTAGGTTGGAAGTAGGCATAATTTTAACAAAAAAATCATTATTTTTGCTTTGAGTAGACTAAACAAATCGCTAAAATAAATTCCATATAAGCGTAACGAACCCATAACCAATTCGAATTTTATTCACTGGAGCCGGCATTTTTATTACAGGACGGTTCGAAAATATTTAATGATAAAATTTTAATTAGCGCAGTGTAGAATAGAAATTTTATTTGTTTTAAAAATCGTAAATATCCAAGGTTAAGTGTTTAAAAATAGGTTTTTATGTACTCTAATTATTCGAAAAGGAAATAAAAAAATCAACTCAAACTATTCGCATATGTATCCACAGACCCACAGGAACAGCTGAAGATGCTATGATCATGAGGAGTCACAAAAACACTCGATTAATGAGCTTAAAATTCATTCTAGAATCAAATCAGTCTCATGTTCTAATTATTAACTTATTATTACCTAATCTATTATTATAACTGATCAAAGCTCCTTCGAATTTTCCTATCAATCTGTATAAAATTTGTAAATTGCCTATAACAATATATAATTTATATCAATTATATTTTGATAAAGAGTGAATTGCCTGATGATTATTAAATATGGTTGTTTCAATAATTTTTGATGAAATTATATTGACTGATCCCCGAGTTAAATTATATTTGTTAACCAGATTTCAAATAATTTTATGACAAAGCTCAAGGCCGAAAAAATTAGTACAACGCATAAATTTCATTAATAAAAACTAGGTTATGAATTAAAAATAAATATTTACGACACACTGTAATACAATACAAAAAAAGTTTACAATGAAAACTTTAACATTTAAGAAAATCGGCAGATGTACATTTCGAATCAAAATTTTTAATTTTTAATTTAAATAATTCTTATATAAATATAATTTATATATCATTTATTTATTTATATTTAATATAATTTGGGAATTTAAAGTTCTAAATTAATTGTTAAATGATTAATGTGTAGGCATTGAAATAACTCCCAGTAATTTTCCGACAGAGTGGTGTTATACTGGAGAAATTCCTTTCAATTTCAAGTAGATATCAAAAACATGGCAAATTCAACCACTCAAAACGTTGTCGAATTTCCCCGACCCTTTATGTTCGCAAAACCGATCTAATTTAATGTTTTTTGCAGGTAATACAACATGCTGTATGGCAAACGAACTAACTAAAATTAGATCAGTACATCGGTGCAGGATTCCTGAAGCATTAATTGATGGATCTGATGACCCCGATGCGATTCCAACCAAACGCGAATGTTTTCCTCCTGCTTCGTCGGTGAATTTGTTCAGTTTATGCAATTTCGCGACCAATAGGGACGCTCCAAATTATTACATAATTTATACTGACTCATGAGCTCGGAATCACTTAATCGATGGTTCGATTTCTAATACTGCCAGTGCTCGAATTCGAACCAAAACTATACGTTTTTCAACGTAAAAATTAACACGAACAATAACGATCGCATTGTTCTCGAACACGCGTCCAATTCAATAATTTTATTCTAAATAAGAGCAAAGTGTAAATATTTATAGATTTTCGCCGTTATACAAACGACATGAAATGTGTCCGGCAAGAGCGCGTTCGGTCCGATAGAGATCGAAAAATAAATTTTTCCGATAACGGACGTACACGTAACTTTCAAGTTTATTATTATTATTGATAAAAAGCGACACGACATTCGCGAACGATCCGTCCGTGTATCTGGATGTCGATCTGTTTACTGTTCAAAAGCCAGGTAATGGTCGACGAAGAGGCGAATTCGAAATAAAAATTTGCCATTGTTCATTTTGCCCGTCCGCATTATTTTCGCGATATTGCGTTACTTCAAAGGAGATCAATAAACTTTTAAGAGGCTAACTGATAGTTAAAACAAACTATGCCGGAATTTATGCGTGAATGAAATATTATTTGGTGGATATTGGAAAATTGTTTGCTATTAATATCTTTAAGCAAATGTTTCTGTTGTAAAACATTGTTAGTACGTTTATACGAGCAGTGTGCGAGATTGCAAATAAATTGACTATTGTTTTAATAGTTTTTTTGTTTTCAATGTTTCGGATTCGATTAGAACATAAAAAATATAGAAGTCCCTACAGATTTTTACCCGCCTACGGGGATAAGAGGCCCTAAAGGACACACCTGAAAATTGTGTTTTTAAAAATAAAGAAAAAGTTATATTATACTTGTTTTTTTCCTAAATTCTGGAAACACCATGTAAGTATATAATTCAACGCACCAAATTAACAAAATATTCTTGTTTATTAATAAAAATTATTGAAAATTAGAGACGTTTTTATATCGTCCGTGAACTATAAGCTTTCGTAAAATCTCAATCAATTTCGTTAATATCTCGATCCTCCTCGACAATTCCAGGCTATTAATAATCCCACATCAATTTATATATACGCGAATTATCTCATATGTGACAGATGCCGCCGCTATCTTACGCATCATCTTCAACATGGAGAACGATAAAAATCCGCGATTATAGTTTCCGCAATGTGTAAACCGAATATTTATGCAGATTTATGCATATACGGTTCATATATTGCACACAAACCGCTGTATTGTTGCCGTTTCCTACACGGGCGTAGATACTTAACGATCAGTAGCGACTCGTTAAACAACGATAACTAATTTGCGCTAATTAACGAAGCCGCAACGGCACTCGAGACTAAATTTTGCGCGTTCGATATGAATTGCGTTTCATCGTTCTCGACGGGCGATTTTCTAACGTTCGCCTCGACGACTTCACGTTTCATCAACCCCTTATGTTTGTCAACTCCACCCTGAAATAAAGTGGAAAATCTCGACAAATGAAAAACGGAAGCGGCAATCCACACAATAAAATACATGACACAACAAAGCTCGTCGTGCTTTGGACGTGTACTTTTCGTACCAGTTGGTATCTTTTAATCCTACGCAGAAAGCTTCGATCGCTACGTTCGGTGTTTAGGCGGATATAACCGTGGAATTGTTAGGAATATTGGATAAAAAAAGGTAATGTCCCGGTATAAATATATCCAGCCCGAGGCGACAATTCGCGTTGCCGAAATATTTATTAACATTTTCCGCAAATATTGACTGTTTTAATTATATTTCGGGCGTTATCAAATTAATTAGATACCCAAATCTGGGTTAAATACAATCGCTTTCTTAAATATAGGAAACTAATACTCCTCTCTAAAATTTAATTTCCCCAATAATATAAAAGTCTCGCCCACACTTAAACATTAATAAACTCGGTTATAATGAACTAATTAAATTTAAATAAATTTGTATTCAATTCGCCGTCCGTATACGCGCAATTAGTCCCTGATTATTTTCGGACGCTTCGAGAATAAAATATTGATAAATAAAAAATCATGCAGGCATTCCCAACAGATTGCCCTATTTACTTCGTTCCCCGACTTGAACCAATTGTTCCTAGTTTGGTATGAATGAATTCTCGGCGATAAAAAGAAAATTCGCCGGGGAATCCGGGATTTTTTATTATTGGAGCGCTGACGTAAATAATTATTTTTCGCGTATTTTTTTTATTTGGGTACTTACTTGGGGTACGCAATTAGGCGGGTAGTTTGCGATGCACTTACCTGTAACAAAAAAATCTATATTTTAATTATATCTAACAGAAGGTAATTTAATAAATGATATTTTATAAGAATTTTATAAATTGCGTTTTCATTCTAGCTGTGTTGTACTCCTCGTTTTTTTTTTAAATTATTGTTTATAGATGGATCTTTGTCGAGCGGACTGCATGAAATATACTCGTATGAAAGTTAACAAGGAGCGCATGCAATTGGTGAAGCAAATATTACATTTTATTAGTCAATCGCGTGTTCGGCATTCCGTATTGTCTCTACTTTTAATTTATTATTGTTTGTTTAATACTTATAGGCATTTTAGAAAAACGTTGCTGCGCCGAACGAATAAAATGTCGATTAATTTTAATTTATTGCATCTTTGAATCCAACCGAGCGATTTCAAATAATCATGCACATGTTTTTTAATATCTGAAAATTACGAAATTTAAACCCACTGAGGAATAAAATTATTGTTGTATTATTAAATGTGAATGGGATGATTATAAAAATACCCACATACTTTGTTACGATTTCTATTTTTAACATTATTGTTCTAGATTTTTGGTAGGTTATTGAAATAACCGTTCCTGCGGATGTCGTTTAGAATTTATTGGCTTGTCTCGTAGGACATTTTGAATTTTCAATTAGAGCGCACAATGCAAATGTATATTTTAAAAACTGCCTTTCCCACGAAGGAAGCGTCGGCTTAACATCCTGTGTATAATATAATCGATGCATTAGATTACATTAAATCTAAATATAACAAATTAATGTAATGTGATTATTCCATTAGAATAGTCGGGAGGTATATTATAATTCGCTGCCTAGTGACTTTGACACGTACAGGAACCCAGTGCCCGGTAATTTCGAAACGCTAAATATATTGACTAAATCTAAATCGACGTTAAATAGTGATGAACCGGCTCACAGGGAGAAGGAAACCGCCGGCGGGAATATCGGTTGTCGGTAGGAAATTACGGCGATTATTTTACAGGCGAAATGGAATTCAAATTTTTTGGAAACAACATTGTGCATCTCCGAGAAACATTCACCGTCCCCCGGTGGCGAAAACCCCTAACGTCATATTTGCGTGACGGTGGATAAAACCGTCGAAGATGCACTTCAATGCCTTTTGTTAACTCGCTTCTTGAGTACGTAACTCCGGATGACCCTCCGCATGCAAATGACACTTTTTGAATATTCATTTCGCTCCTTCGACAGCCGTCTGATTAACTCACTGATTTTTTCGTAGCGCCAACGGAATTTCCCGCCCGAATATTACAACGTAATTGTTCGAGTATAAAAAAATCGACTGGTTACAAAAAAATATCGGATATTGCAAATTATCCTCAATTAAATAAAATTCGACACCCCGCTTACATTCGATCATTAAATACAATAAATTTTGTTAGTCGACGCCGAAAGCCCCCGTAATGATGTTCGCAATCTGTAATTAAACCAAGTGAGAAATTCAATACGCTTCAATTCGTTAAATCGAATCGCCGCCGCTCCGATCGAAAAGAAATCCGCCAGTAGCGTCCGTTTACTACATATAGTTTTTTTTTCGGGGTAAATATAACGTAAAATAAATGAATAAAGTACGTACGTTTAAAAATAACAATGATGTAACTAGCCAGTCTGTTGCAACGTTGCCGGGTTGTAATTGAAATCCTTTATATGACTGATATATTTAATTTAAGCTTATATTTACTTTGAATGATTACAAATTAAGAAGGTCACTAAAAGTGGAATTTAAAACAGCAAGAAAAACTATCTAACGGACGAAAAAAAAAACAAAACTACTCGTAAAGTTGAAAAAAAAACAGGACAGACAAAAATCGCTGGGAATCATTTATAACGCTCCAGAATCATTAAGAACTAACCAGAATCATTTAGAACTATCTAAAATCATTTAGAACGCTCCAGAATCATTTAGAATTGTGCAGAAGCATGTAGAACGTTCCAAAAGCATTCAGAACTGTCTAGAATCAGTTAAAATTCTCCAGAATGATTCCGAACGCTCTAGGATAATTTTGAACTATCTAGAATCATTTAGAACTATCTAAAACCATTTAGAACGCTCCAGAATCTTTTAGAACTGTCTAGAAACATTTAGAACGCTCCAGAATCATTTAGAACTAACTAGAATCAATTAGAACTAACTAGAATCAATTAGAACTATCTACAATCATTTAGAACGCTCCAGAATCATTCTGAACTCTGCAGAATCATTTAGATCTGTCTAGAATCATTTAGAATGCTCCAGAATGATTCAGAACGCTCTAGAATCATTTATAATGCTCCAGAAAACGACACAAATAGCTGGAAAAGCCACAAAAACAACAAATTGTAGTCGAAACCTGTCAACTGCAAATAGCGGAATTTTGAGACACACGACATGGCAACAACGCATAGGCGTTTTAACCGCGCGCCGTAAAATGTCCCTAGTCGAGTGACAGAATTAACATTGACACTAGGGGAATTTTGATCTGCACGGAAGTAACTAAAAATGACGTCACTGCTGTTTTAAAACGTACGAACTTTAGAAGAATCATACACGCATTAGTGTATGGGAAACCGGATTTAATAACGTTAATTAATTCAAAATGGAGGCTTTATATTGGGGGATTCACAGGTTACAAAAAAAAATGTTTGTTCACTTTAGTGTAAAAAAAACTAGTTTGAAATGTGAGCGGTAACAGGAAGGAATATTTTTTGGCGGAAATGAAACAATTTGAATTAACAATGCCGGCTTTTTTCCGCGCCCCTTAAAACCCTCATTGCGACAGCTAGGGAAAATTATTTATATTAATGAGCGTTTAGCGGTGGTGCAACGGAAAATAATTAATTAATGAGTGTACTAGGTACCTATTGTGTTACATAGTAACACAATGCCGGGGGTTTTCGCTAAATAAAAAAAAACTGGAACCGTACATTTATGGCCAGTCATTATTCACTCGAATGAAATTTCAATTACACGAAAAATTAGAAAATCAAAAAACGCTCCGCCACCTTCACAAATTAAATTGAAATGGAAATGAGCGTCGGATAAGAAGCGACTTTTCTTTAAATCTTCTTACTTTCCAATTTCTCGTCGCTTTGATGACGCGCCTAACATAAACAAAATGAAACGCAAAACAACGCAATTTCATTTCCCGTCCGAATTGTTCGGAAACACTTCCGAAATCTCGCAATTCACACATCGCACGTTTTTTTACGGGCCTTTATTAATCCTCGTCGGGTTCGAGAGTGGATTCTCACCCCGGCCCGAGATTTGTTGCCATCGCGCCGCCCCCTCATTGCCGCCCCATGCGGATAGGATGATATGCTCAAAATGTAATCATACTTTATTCATATTACAATTACAAAACTCTCGGCGCAATTGCTCGCTAAATATTCCGACGCGAGGCCCGGTCGAACGGATAGATTTTATCGCAGGGTCGGGTTCTTCGCAAAAACGGCTCAATCGGACATAACCTAATGTAGTTTCTAAGGTAACGTTATATATAGTCGGTGCAAAACAAATATCAACCGAACTTTTATAGAGTTTTATAGAGTAAAATTGTCAAATGGCAAAATGACAAGAAAATAATATGTTGTTAATATTAAATTAAATTGTGCAGGTATTAAGCTTAATCTATTTTGTGTATTTATTTTCAAAAGTTGGTCACAATGCTTGGCAAGTATGACGACTGTAGTGACGTGAATTGACATTTGTTTTGCACCGACTATACTTTGAAAAGTGTATTGATAAGGAGTTTTAAATCCGTGTATTTAAAAAAAAAATGTGAATAATAATTGGGTGATTCCCACAAAATATTCTTCCCCATTCTACCTAGTTAAATGGGTGATTCCCATAACATGGTGTACATTGAAATGGGAAATCTTTTATTCTTCCTTTAAACTGATTCCCACCATTCTACTGGGTTAAACGTGTAGACTTTAAAATATTTTTACTGACCTGGACAGTCCAATTCGTCAGCATTATCCATGCAATCCCTCAATCCATCGCATTTTTTCGAATTCGGTAGACACTGGTCATCACAGGCGAATTCATCGTTGTTACATTCTACAAAAAGAACATTTACCTTAATAAAACATTACATAAAACTCATCATATTTAGTCATTCGTATCCCGCAGGTATTTAATAGGAAAGGTTTGTGTAAAAAATTGTATAAAGTAGATGATAGCTGAATAGATGAGATAGATGAAATAAAGCATACATTTTGCTAGTTTAAAAAAGCGGAAACGTGATTAAAAATTGAATGATTTAATGCAATTTATTAAATGTCCCCTGTTTTATTTAATTAGAAACTAAATTATTTTTCCCAAAAAGTTATTTGCAATATTCAGTTAGAACATAATACAAATTTAATCCCAAATTCATAATTAAGTAACTAGCAGAGATATCTTTTGCCAGGAAACGAAATCAGAAATACCGACTGTGTAGTGAATCGATTTATGAAACTACAGTAACTTCGATATTTCTATAAAAGAGGGCGTCACAATTCGCAATTTTCCACAGGGAAACCCGGCACAATTTCCACTGAACATCCCTACTCATACACTCTACAAAACAATCGCGGGAATTACCAAACTATTATTACTTTCTCCAATAAATAATTATTTGAATATTTCGCACCTTTCCTGCAATTGAGCTCGTCTGTACGATCATCGCATCGGGCAAATCCATCGCAAACTTCCGATTTGGGGATGCACCTGTAGACATCGCATTTGAACTCGCCCAATCTGCATTCTGTAAAAAATTCGAGCGATTAAACGCGAACTCGATGGTGTCTTGTCGGTGTTATTAAATTCGTCTGTACAGATATTGTATTAATATAAGATCAATCTACATTAAAAAATGTTGTAAATAGTATAGTTGATCTTAATTTTTAGCAACATTTACAAGGCGAATTAAAAATAACGAATTGGTATGTAAATGTGTTTAAAATTATCGATTACCCTTCGTTATTTTTGGTTAATTCGATGATACATATTATTAAGTTAGTAAATAAGTACAAATCAAAATGTATATTAAAATGGAACAAACAGGTAAAATATATATTATTTGCCATTCCAACACTTTTTAAATGAAAGTATGCGCTTTATATCTAGGGAATTTGCGTTGGCCTTTTATGAATAATCCTTATAGTTGCCTTATTAATACTATTCTCATTTACTCTTCGGCTTACTTTCGCTTAAAAAGGTTTCAAAGGGAACTTAGGTATTAACTGCATTTATGCAATACAAAGCTGAAAATAGAAGAAATGTTTATTAAATTATGCAGAAATTATTATTGGCTATGAACCTCAATAAAATACACCTAAATTCTGTTAAAAAATAATCATTTTTTTATTAAATACTCATTCTTTTCTTCAACAAACACTAGTCTATAAATTCCTGACATTTTAATCTATCTACGTTATAATTGTTTTAATTAACTCAAACATTGAAGGAATTTGGTAGTACTTATGATTAAATAAACTTAATGTAGGATAGGTAATTTCTTTCCATAGAAATTAAATTCGATAGAATAATTCAATATCAATATATTAAGTATATTTGAGCATATTTTATTAATAATTCCTTCCCTCTTAATGTGCATGAATGTTATATAATTAAATTAAAAAGATCAAGTGATTATGGTAGATGCTTTTGGTAGATTAGAGTAAAAAATTAAATTTAATCAATGAGATGCTTTGCAGGGTTTCAGGTAATAAAAGCTTTTGATGAAGAGTTAGACGTGACTTTTCCATAACTTCTTCCATGTCTATTTTTTTAATATGAATGTGGAGGGATCTTTTTATATAGTGAATAATGTAACACCAATGAAACCATTGAGGAAATTTGACATTAAACACCGATTCCCCTACTACATAGTAGTAAATATTAGTGCTTCAAAGGTACATCAATGGCAAAAATTAACTTCAACTACCAAACTCCTCCAAAGCTCCAAAATCCAATCAACGAGACGATCGCGATCAATCAACCCACACCATCCAAAAATAATAATCGATTAGTAGCCTAACTATAAGTTTTATATCCAACACCAAGCTTTTAGCATAGCCACACTGCTTTAAACTGTACCAGTGCAATTCGACTCGTCGCCTCCGTCGTGGCAGTCCGGCAAACCGTCGCAAACCTGATCGGAGCAAATAACCCTAGAGCCGTCGGCGCAACGCACCCAATCGTCGGCCCTGCAATCGCCGGCGCCGCTGCCTTCGTCTATCGGCGGCTCGAAGCTGGGGGTGGTCGTCGGAGGCTCCGTTATCTCCTCCCTTCTGGTGGTTGTGGTGGTGGTGGTGGTGGTGGTCTCCGGCTGCCTGGTCGTGGTGGTGACTGGTATCGGTTCAGCTGTTACCGGTACGCGTTCTGTCGTGGTGGTAGTTGTGGTGGTGGTTGTGATTGGGGTCGTTGTGGTGATATCAAAGTCTGGTTCTATCGGTTCTAAAGTTTACGGTTGCAGAGTTGTGTATAAATACGGGAATTGTGGGTTTTCTCTTGAACAGTGGGTCATAGCTGTGATGTTGCAATTCCTTGCTTTCGAGCGAATTATCAGCTAATACTGAGCTTAGTGATGAATTTTCGCTGTTCATAAGACAACCCACTACCATTAACTAATACATAGGTGTAATGAGATGAAACTATTTCCAGGTCACAACAAGTTTATAACTTGCCTGGTTATTATTTACTTAACGTTACTGTTAAGTTTAGTGAAATATTTCTGGATATTACATACACAATCAGTACCATCAGGAAAACCTTTCGTAACTTTCCAATTACAATTCGACTTAAGAAGATTCGAGTAACTACAAAGAGGGATTTTCCTCATGGTACACGAATTGCCGCTATAAAAATAGTTACAATTAACTCGCATTATATCTAAAACCTAGTAGAGAATCTGGTTAATGGCGGATGCGATAATTAAATGACGGCAACGTACCGGGATAGGAACAACCTTCCTCGTCTGAATTATCATTGCAATCCCTAATTCCGTCGCAACGCGACGTCGCGCTAACACATTGACCGCTCCTGCATTGTAATTCGTTCGTTGGGCACTTTTGATCGGCCGCTAATATAAGAAAAATAACAAAAAAATAATAAAAATAAAAAATAAATCCCTAACAAAAACAACAGCACGTGTTGTAATTGAATAATTTATAACTAGTCACTCGTTAGTTCAATTAAATCTTATCGTGTTGTACAACATTCTATATATAGTATACAGTGAAAATACATTTAGTAATTTCTTTATCGACGATATAAATTGGTATTTTATTTGTTTAATTTCCGTACCTCCGAATTCGGTGAATCTAAGTTCTTCTGGATCGGTGGTGGTAAGATCGCCCAATCTGTGATTGGTGTTAATCGGCTCGAAAACGGCCCTTTTAATGTCTTCGCTGTTGGAATTTCCTTCGGAATCGATGTCGGCGGTCACTCTCACCTTGAAGGGGTCTTGTTTTTTGCTTTGCCTGCAAATTAATTCATTTGTAGAACTCCAATTGCACCGAAAAGTAAGGGAATGTGAAAGATACGCACTCCATACTAATGATTTGAACGTTTTGATGTCCCGGTATTTGTTCGAAAACCTGGTCCAATGCTCGTTTTATCCTGTCTGATAATTGCTGGAATGACGGACTGTTGCGGTCTTTGTAATCTTCACGGTAGGGTTCCATGACTGTGAAGGCGATTCTGTATACTCCTAAAATAGAGAAATGTTAATATAAAATTTGCACAATCTGAGTATTGAATATTTAGTATGTTGTGTGTAGAAATATGTCTACTTCATTCATATAATGAATTTTTCGCAAGCAGAATTTAATAAGAATTAATTACTTACTCGGATGGGGATAATCAGTTCTTGGGGTTGTTTCATCACCATCGCCTGAACTGAAGTCACCAGAAGGACCGTGTAAATCTTCATCGTCTGGGTGGCTGTGAATAACAAATTAAATAATTAGAGATTATCTATTAATTCAGGAATAAACGGTGTAAGCTGTATTCCATCTTCAGTTGAAATAGAAGACTTACTTGAATTCGTTCTGAAACAAAAAAATACTTATTTTAATAAAATTTTCCAAAATGCAAAAATTAAGAATTAATTAAATTGTTAAGAATTAATTAAAACAAAAAAAATACTTACACCTCCAGTTTCTTCTATATTGTCTTCATCATCCTAAAAAAATAAAAAAAAATTAGAATATAATTTTGTCAATAAGTTTATTATTCTAAATCTCGAAACTAAACACATTTTTAGCAAACTTGTTTAAAATATGTTTTTCTTTTAGTGATGATATTCATAAGCATAATTATTATTAGTACAATTAATGAACATGGATATAATTAATCAAAGCAATACGTTTACAGTTAGTAATTAATATCCTGCTAGCCGTTAGTTTATTTACATTTTGTAACGTGGTGGTTAAAGTTATTAATTTTTATAGTTATTTTTCAATGTAAGCATTTATTTTTAGATTTAAAGTATTAAATTGTGTGTAGTAAAAATTTAAATTTTTATGATCAAAAGTTATTTATTTTTAGTTCGTCTCATTCTTTTCTGAAAATGCAATAAAAACTGTGTTAACATATGTATTATTTTATAAAATATTGTTAGTTAATTTTAGTCGCTATTCTATGCACAAACATATACATTTTTAATGAATATTTCTTCTTACTAATTACTCTACAATTAGTTTTAGAGTCACTGATGGTTTAATTAATACACAAACAAACTCTTATCTTTTACTCACATTTATGTCATATTCTTCCTGTGAAACAGAATTAAATAAATTAATGATGTGGCAATTTGCTGGATCGATATTTATTAATTCATAAGAAAATTTTTTATGTGTCATCAATTTCTCTTCATTATAAAAATAAATGATATTTTTATAATTATTCATATTTGCCTACTAGTAAAAATGTGTACTGTGCTCGTAAGTACCATCACCGAACAACTCAAATAAAAAAGATTAGAAGAATAGAATATTAGAAAAGAAAAAGATAAGCATTAATAATTTATGCTGAAATACCACGATTAATGAAACAATTATAGTTATCTCAGCAAAAATTATTTCCTTAGACAATGTAAGAAGAATAAAGGACAAGGAGTAAAATAGAAAAAAATTTCAAGTCCATATCAACTCCTTGGGAATCCAGCATGCTTCGCCAAATGGTGTTAATCGAATGGTAACAAATGGTGCGTCGATGAAACCAGGATGTCGAGGATGCCCGATGATGATGATTCAAAATATCATCCATTTCCCACTAACTTACGTTCTCCTGTTGCTGACCTTGACCTTCGCCTTCACCTATTTGTAAAATTGAAAACTCGTCAGTATTATCGTCAACATTTTGACCAATTCCGTTTTCCCAATCTTCGTAATCCAACTCCTGCTGGCCTTGTTCCTGCTCCTGATCCTGGTCTATTTGGATCTGATCCTAGATTGATTAATAGAGCAGATAGTTGAAAGTTTGCTTACAAGGCGACAGATTTTGCAATTCTAGTAAGGAAATGCGATGGAAACACAATAAAAAATGCTTTTATTTACAGTTATTTTGTAATAGTTATAAACTATACTTGACGCGTTTGGAAGACGGAGTAATAAACACATTAATCAGCCGAAGTCCACCCGGGGTGTAAACGAGTCGCCGATATCACTCACTCCCCATTGGCCGGCCTAAAAGTTGATACTCTGTGAATGGTTTTGAGTAATTGTAGGCGATGTGCGAAATTTCTATCGATCGAATCGATCATTGTACAGGATTTTGCCGTACAGGGGTAGGGATATTTTGGAACCGCCTGACATTTTTATTACTCCGTCTTCCAAACGCGCCAAGTATAGTTAGCTTTAGTAACATTTATATTTTTAGGAAAAACAGTACAGAAAGTATAGGAAGTTGGAAAAAAGAAGAAATTTAAATTTGAATATACTGTAGGTAGAAATTATTTACAAATAGATATTATACATACATGTATCTAACAGTTCGGTGGTTCTTTGGCATTGTAACAATAATTTTATTCAGAATTTTTACTCATATATTGTTTAATTTAATTATTTAGTCATTAATATACTTACATCATAATTATCATCGAGAGCATTATTATCATCAGCTTGTCTATGTTTCCTTCTTGACCTAGACTTGTTTTTACTCGAACCCTTCCGATGATGTTTTTTCCCGGTATGTTGGTGTACCGTCGACTTTTCACCAGCGGCTCCATTAGAAAATAAACTATCTATGCTTCTTTTTAACCTATTTACAGTACTGGTGAGCCAATTTTCCTCCACCGGCGGACTAGATTCGTTTTCTAATTGCTCTGCGGTCCTGTGTATCCTGCCGTGTTTCGAATGTTCTTGGCTATCGAATACCAGGTCCGTATCGATCTGAAACGAAGAAAAAAACGACACGTTTTTAAATAAATCAACAGAAAGGGGAGAAATCTTCGCTGAAGAAATCCGAATTTAAGGCGAGGAGCGGCTTAAGAATCGCCCTCTTTGAAAATTCATGTTAGTGCCGAGCGCCGAAAAGTTTTCCACGTGAAAATTTTATGTAGAAAAAGGGGAAACTCTCTACCATAACCATATCATAGGGTTTCCCAAAGGATATAATTGCCGAGAGCTATTAATTTGCTTGGAAACGAACTTAGCCGAACAGGGGGTTCTTTTTCAAGCATAAAACGTGACATCTTTGGAATCACATCAGAGATGTCTCCTCAAACTAAATACAAATTCCCTCGAGAGGAAAATTTCTTAATATTTTATGAGACGTAGGTAAACTACAATTATAGAGTGAATAATAATTTAATAATTTTTACACGTGTTGGTGGCGCTGCAGGCGTTCTTTAAACAAACCAGGAACTTCCCGGCCGAGGAAGTTGTACGTAAAAGTAAAAACCAGTAACTACCCAGCCGCGAAACTTTCACGGTGTTTTGCAAATTTGTTTTTCGAGGAAAATATCCGGCGCGCCGCCGGAATTTTAAGTTCCTCCTTCGGATGCCATAGGTCATTCTTATATAACGGGCTGTCGCAGGTTCTTCTTTACTTTGGGACGCCGTCCTCGTACTGGGTATCAGGACAAATTGGCGTGAAAAATTCGATGTTGATGAGTTTCTAATACCCGATGAAAAAGTTGGATCTCCGGGCTTTATATGTGTAATGTTAGGTCACCCATAAGCGAAACTGAATATTTTAAAGACGATAGGCGATTTCCTGGAGATGGTCTGTTTGTGAGGGTGTTAAAAATTGAATATTTAAACTTCGTATAATGATTTCTAAAAATATTAAATTTACTTTTACTTTATCGACACTGAGGCGCTGGAATAAATAAAGCTTGTTCCAAAATAACTCTTTACTCTAAATTTTACATTGAAGAAATAAAATCAAAATATACAATCAATTTTCAGCGAACTAAACTAATGTATCCTTACTCCAATTAACTTGATAAAAAGCAGATAAAATTTGCGAAACATAGTAGTATTCGAACAAATAAATAATCTCGAAATAACGTCCCATTGAAATAAGCAAAGAAATTTGCACATAGTTAACGCCAATACGCTCAGTTCAACGTTCGCGAATATTTATTTTATTTATTTTCAATCCGTCGGTTTTGATTATTTTGCCTAAAAATTTAAAGAAAATTAAATGTTCTTTGGTATGTTTAACGCGGAGAGCCGGGATATTCGATGTCTGTAACGTGATATAACTTTTTATCTAAACATTTATTCGATTCGTTATACAACGAGAATACAAAAAAAATAGACGAGCGCTAACCCGCTTAGTAATTTGTTGAACGGGAATCTGGAACATACTCGGGAAATGACCGCGATCCTGAATTTTATTAGTGTATATATTTACCAAAATTTTCTTACTTCAATTTGTAATCAGACAAACAAAAGTAAGGGTGTTAAAGTGTAATGAACTTAATTAGAAACTTCTCTCAAAAATATGTATTTGGTAAATTCCTCGCGGTGATTTTTAGTAATATAAAAATAATTCTGACTAATGGTTAAATAAATTTAGCCAAAAAGGAAGTTTGCGGAGAAAATTTTTAGTTAAACTGTTGATATGACTAAATAACAACTAAATATTTCGGTGAAATTTTGACATTATATCCAGGATGCATTAAATCATATTTCTCTTGAAACGCGATTCAGAATTAATATTTCACCAAGACCAAATAACAGGAAAGTTATAAGTAAAAAGGTATAAACGTGAAGATTTACTCATAGGAGCAGTAAAATCTCGTAAAATGGTAGATAAATGCACCTATTTTCATATAAATATGCTTACATAACCGGAAACATACGCGCCTTTATTGAAATAAATCATACTTAAAATCAATTGCAAAAATATTTAGCATAATTATAGCATTTGAAATTCCTCGTTTTTAGCTTTTGTTAATTTAAATTTCCCGCCCTGTCCATAGGCATGTTCATTTTATTCGATTTCATTAAAATGTATTTTTTGTCCAGTCGTTTCGATTGATCTTTTTTAATTAGTTTATCAGCCGGTTTTCCACAAACAGACGGCCAATCTTGCTATTAAACAACTGAAATTGATTTATTTATTTTTTCGAATATGCTAGTACCTACACATCATTTGCAAAGTAGGTTAAGCAGCTGGTTAAAACAACAGACCAATTTTTGTATACATTTTCCTGAATTTCCAAATAAACAATAATTAATTATTCATACTCATAACGACATTTTGAGCGCGAATTTCCTCCAGATACAATTTCCGCAGAATTATTCGAAATTTAAAATACACGTACACACGTGCGCGACTTTGTATAGTGCGATTATCCCGTGTATAACGTTTACAATGCGCTGACAAATCTCGATTCGTAAATATAAATCCTGATGAATATTCGCGGCAAGGACTATTTACACTTTGCAGGATATTCGCGGGGAATAAATCTTTTGAAGCGGATAATTTAGTTATCATGGCTCGCGCCTTCAAGGCCCGAATCGGGTAAAATCACGAGAATTAACATTAATGATATGGAAATAAGTAATATTATGTTAGATGAATTAGACACCAGACGAGGCTGGGAGTTTGGTTTATTTATTTTCGCAACAAAAGGTTATCCAGTACGCGTATATCGGGCGAGTGCGAATATTGAGAGCCATTCCCATTAACCTGAGTTTTATTTGTGGGAAAAAATAGATTATTTTACAACAAAGTCGACCGGTAGGTTAGTAATAGACGGAAATGACATCGCTTTATTTACGAGGTACGAATTGCAAAAAAGCGAATCGACAAAAAAAAATAGCGCCGTTGGCGAAGAACCCATTATCAGTGCTTTCATAATTGACGTTATGATAAATGTTAACGATGGCGAATTTTAATGTTCGAGACGTGTTATCATTTTGCGGTTCTTTTTTAATATGAATAAGTTATCGAACGACCAAATGTGGAATTGAACGGATTTACGCGCTTGCGATTTTTTCGACCTGGATCCGATACACTTTATATCTCTTTATTATGCAAATAAATAAGGGCTACTGCAAGATATACTGTAATACATAAGCCATTGGGTAATGGAAATTTATCTGTAGCGGAGATTCATTTTGTTCATTAGCAGAGAGAATTTAAAGAGGTAATTAGGTAACAAACTATAGAGATTTTTCGACTTAACCATATTAAATATTTTACAGTAGGGATCAATTCGATTATTTTCGCTTTTAATCAAAAACTTTTTTGGGTGACATATAATTTTTAGTGCTGGGAAGTTAAGTTAAATAGGGAGAATCTACTCGAGCTAGAAAAAAACAATACCTCAAATATAAAATTTTTACGGACTAATATACAGGATTATTGACCGTGCAAAAACTTTTATTAAATTAAACTTGCAGATTTGGTAAAAACTCTACGAGTTAATAAGAGTTTTCTTGTGGTATCCCTCTAATCTCAAATTTTTAACAAAATTCATTCGAATTACTGCGGTTAAATTAGAGTATTTCTAGAAATACAAAAAGTACAGGGTAATAAAAAATCGAAATACCTATAACCTAAATAAACCGGCCGTCATCGCATTGACCGTGAGTGTGTTATATCACTGCTATTTCTAATTCAAATTTTAAATTAGGTCAATAGACGTGTGCATTATGTATTCAATCGTCGATCCATTAATTTTTCAAAAGTGGAAATTGAGAAAACCCATTAGAGATCAGTATCACTTAATGCAATTATCAACACATGCAGTCAACTTCTAATTATTCAATCGCAAGGGAAGGTAACCTCACTTAATCTACGAATGCTTCAAAATATTATACTGTATTGTAAAACTTTGTTGTAAATAACACAACAAAAAAAAATTAGTAAACCATCTTCATATCTCTTTTTTCAATAATACACGAGCACATTTATGAACACAATTTTCCATATAAAAACGTCGTAAAACCCCCTTTACGACTAATGCGATAGTAAAATCACAACCAATACTATTTTATGTGTACAGGATAAATCCGTCGCATCAAACACAACGCCCTCTTATTTTCCAAAACGAATAATCAAAGTCATGCTCGGTACTCCTTGGGAATTACACGCCTCGGCATCGAGTTTCATCAACTCGAAGTCGGTCGCGAAATGGGTCAGGGCCCGAAAGGAAAAATGAAAACCGATGTTGGAAAGATGAGATTAAGTAGTTTAACTTTAAGAAAATGAAAACGACGAGAAAAGTGAGTACAATGATGCAGCCGACGTCTTTTCGCATCGTTAATCTTTTTTTTAATGTTATTACGGTGTAAATCACTTCTCTCGTATTTTACAGGGGAATAGGACCTTTCGGAGGAAGGACCTTATTCTAATGTATAAATATAAATCTAAATTAAATATAAATTATAAATCTGATTAAAAACTCATCTATTTCATAAAAATCATGACCTATCAAAAATCATTTGACGTCTTTTTCAAATATTTAAAATTTATATCCGTATTTATCCCGATTAATGCTTTGGTTAGATTACTTTGTATGCGAGAAGTTGTAAAACTTAATAGATGATGTTAAAATAATTAGACCGTGACAGAATGCGCATTTGAATCTGCTAAAAATAGTGATGTAATTTTATTTGGTTTTTATGGACATTCGCGTATCATTTCAAAGAGGATTTCGTTGTTAAATTGCCATTATTTGCATTCAAGAGGATTATATAGATATTGTTTCGTTCGATTTAATTGGTAAATGATTTTAATAAAATGTCTTTAACGTCCGGCTGGGTGGTCGTGAGCTGAATGACGGGCCAGTTCGTGATGTACATTATTAATTTATAAGAAAATTTTTATGCCATAGCTAAGTAAGTACCTAATTTATTAAACTAAAAATTTCCGCATAAATATTGAGTAGATCTACAGGGTGATTTATTAGTAAATCAACAAGACATTTATTAAACTATGCCCTATAATAATTGATAACAAAAGGAAAAAAATCTATTGTGCCTACATGAGTGTTGTGAAATGAACAAATGAAATAAAAATAGACAAATATTTAGATGTCATTTATTATTATAGATAAAAATCACGCTGTATAAGCGTATGGATATTTTATTTGGTACTTTATCTGATTAGTCCATTACATGGTCTTTCACGTACCGAAAAATAGCAATTCTAAACATGGTATTGTTATGCTAAGCAGTGACATCATTCCTTACTTAAACAGATAATTTAAGCAATAGTTATTTAAATAGAAGGAAACTGTCGTTAATTATCCGGTGACAAATATACGAAAATATACGAAACCGGCGCCGAACCTAATTAGTTTAACGGCCGTAAAAATTCAAAAAATCGCCGTTTTTTAATGAATTAGCGGGTTAATGTCTTTTTATAAGTTTCAATCTATTAATTCCTCTAGGTCGAATAAATTATTGAGCCAAATAGAAAACGTGTTAATTCTAAATATTAGCACAAATCGTGTAATGTTGCAATTCAAGTTACAACTTCTTACAATTAGCATGATCATTAGCAAAATTGTAGTTATTAAATAAAAGAGCTATAGGGTACTTCTACAAGCAAATTAGTGGTTAATCACTGTATTTACCTTATTATACGCACAAGTACTATGATTTAGAAGTAGTTGATAACAGCAAGGGATTCATTAAATGTCTTATTAGACCGTTAATGTGTAGATTTTAACTGGAAAATTGTATGCCTAAGGCGCACAAATAATACTCATCAAACTTAAACTTAAATATAAGTACAAAACTATTGAAAAGATAGGAAATCTTGCTTCGTTAAACTGCATAAACGATTATATAAATTTAATTAATTATTATTAAATACGGATTAAATATAATTATTATTATATACGGTAATTAAAATAATTCGTAGGCTATTGAAAAATCTTTCCGCGTAAGTAGAATTGTCCACACACACGTGCACGTGAGATACCTATACAAACACATCCGTATAATATGCCACCTATGAATTATTGTCGAACCTTCACAGTCACACAAAAAGGGGTTAAAGCATGACTGTGAATTTAATGTACACAATTCTATTTATACAAGACGTACTTTATAGTCATACCATAACTAATCAGACATAAAGAAACTCATATGTTCGCACGTATACGTATAAATAATATATTTGATTACCTATACAATACAGTACATTCACATCATAGTGAAAACTAGTCTTGTGGACTAGTGAATACATAAAATGGTCCAAAGTTTACAAAATTTGAAAGAAGGCAATGGAATAAACGGGACAATCGCATAAAATATCAGTTTTCCTGCAAAATCGCATGAAATCCGCAACTTGTTCCGATGTTACGTAAACCGAACGATATGAGTAATGCATGTATAAACGTCTCGAGAGTGCATTGTCTGACATTCAAGCGGGTTTCGTACAAACGTATATTCGTTTCATGTTGTCAAAAACCCATTATTAATGGACTATAACCGTACTTGTTCGTATTACACGTACGTATAAAAAGCTTTCGAAAGCCCCGGTGATCGGATTTACAACTTTATGAGCATGTCATTCGAGAACTTTAAACTGAAATTCGTCTAACTAAAAGAGCATCGTTCGATAAATATTTTTTTTGAATTTAATTTTATTTGTGATATTAGATTAAAATGTAGCCGATATTAATTTTGCAATGAGTTCGACAGAACTTCCGAATTGCTCTAAGTAGCATTAAAAGCGGAGTAATATTATTAACTGTTCCAGAGTAAACTTGCGATGTTAATGGGGGATATAGGAAGTGGGATATATCCTATACGTGTGGGCGCAAAACACTTTGGAAGAATTTTAGTTTCCTGTTTGGTACGAGTGTTTTGCTAAAGTTTGCAGTGCCTGGTAGGAATACCAAAAAATTAATTCCTCTACGC